AAGGATTCTATTGGATTTCTTTTGGAAGTTTTAAAGAGCTGAAAATGTGAAGTCTAGCCAGTATTTAAAAGGGTAAAAAAGTTAAATTGGGAAAACAGCAGGTCTGTTTGATTTGACAAACAAATAGATAATYAGAAGCTGAAAGGAATGTAATCAGTGAATTTGGGACAGGAGCAGGAGCACCCGAATGTATTTCATGGAAAAAGGGTTTGTTCACCAAGTTTGGTCCGTATGAGGTGACAATTAAGGATCTTGGTCTTGGTAGTAGCTGGGAGTGTTGCTTTTTCATGTGAGAAAAGGAAAAACTTATTTTGATGCCCACTAAACTTGGGCTTCTGAAATCAGCTGAGTGTTGTTGCTTTGCACCCTGCCTCTCTCCTTTCCTTGGAAGATGAGCCCTTCATTTCTCTTTTGAGAGAAATTCCCACCAAAAAAACCCTGCACCCTAAACCCAAAAACCCAAACCCACTCCTATACAAAATCACTGTAGGACACATTAAATAAATCATGAAAAGGTCACTGCTGAATTAGAAAAGGTGAATGCAACAGTGATGTGTTCTTAGTGAAATATTCCTAGTTATTTTTAATAATGGTGATCAAAAAAGTTTGGCTTTTTTTGTAGATTCTCAAGAGAAGTACAGAAAAAAAAGGTTAATTTGATTGAAAAATTATTATGAGCTGCATTGTGTATTCTATTGATGACAAAGTAATCAAAATAATGTAATAAAATCTTAGATTTAATACGCCAAGCAGCAAAACTTGTGTGAAATACAGACTTAGAAAAGAGTTAGAAGAGAGGAACTCTTTGAGCTGTATGCATTGTGCTCGACACTGCCATGTTTAGGGAAAGGAAAAATGAAAATACTGGCATGTCTTTGTTGAGTCTCAGCACAAAGACATATTTCCCACCGGGTTTTGGGTTGGAGTCTTTCAAGCTATTTGTTTTAATGTTATTCTGAGAATTTTTCACTGATGGTTGCTGGGTCCTGTTTGTCTCAATGAAAGCCTGCGGAACAAAAATTGCTGCTTTGGAACAAAAGGTGATAGTTGAGGATAAAAAGATTGGAGCTGGAAATTGTGGTTTGATTAGGGATCTTCTTTACTCGGAGATAGTTGTTTTCTGGTTCTTTTGGGTATTTCATGTCTTCCTAGCAGTTGAAATAAACAAGCAACTGAAGAAATTAAAAATTTATTTAGYTACTTCTTTATTTACTGACTGCTAATGGTGGAGAAAAATGTTGAAGTAGTCCTGTTCTTTTGTGCTGTCCTACAGCATCTCCTAAATAAGGTCTGTTTTAAATCAGAATTATCATCTAAATAATATAATTAATTTGGCATAAATTAAAAAGTAATGTTTTTTTTCTTTATGATCTCCTTTTAAAAGGATATTAATTTGCTTCAATGAATGAAGATAATAAGGTTAATAGTTTAATGTTCCTCAGTTGATATCTGCTGCTTTTTCTATTACCTTTTTTTTTYCCTTTTTGATTATAAATTGGCTAACCCCTGGTGTATAATACCAGAAATCATCCCTTCAGTGTATCCAAAGCTATTTACTTAGACTCATCTTTTATTATTCCCACTGCCGCAGTCTAATTATTGTAGTGAAAGATTGAACACAGAGTAGTTTGGGGCTTTGATCAGTCTTCATATAAATTTCAATAATGAGAGTAAAAGGTTTGCRGTTTTCTGAGATAATTTGATCCCTCCAGACACACTCAGCTTTTACCAAACACAGTGAATGCCATATGAGACCTCTGACAGCATTTGTGTCTGGGTCTGTGACATCTCTGCAAGCAAAATTCTTTCCTCATACCAATAAAGAGTAATTTAATATTTTTTAATGTGCCAGAGAAACTATAGACTGCTGCACATTTTTCCTTAWATTTTCACTTCATTGTCCCCTATCAGTTTAATTGTCTGTGTTACAAGTTCTTACACCAGAATCATCTAAGAATACATAATACGTTTGCTTGCATTTCTCTCTTTGTGAAAAAGTATACAAACTGTCATTCAGATAAATAAAACAAACCATAATCCTTGTTATTCCATTACTATCGGTGCCAGCTCCCTTCGGAGATAAATAGAAAAGCAGCTGGAGACTGAGGATATTTTGTAATCTTATAAATTGAAATTTAAATGCCTCAAGGAGGAAATTTCCAAAATAATTGTGACAGAAGATAAGTCCCAGCTTTTGGCAAAATTTTATTAGAATTACTTGTTCCAGATCCTTGTCTGATGCCTGCATGAATTAAGAAAATGGCAGCGCTGCCATGTAGAGGAATAGCTGGGGTTTTTTCATCGTGATAAATTTTTCTGAAAGTGCTCTGTCATCAGCGTTATCAGGTGTGACATACTCAGGGACACGATCAAATTAAAAATCATGAGCCTTTCGCTGATGCCAGTTGATTTTAAACCATATGGGTTTTATCCTTCCCACTAATAACATCTCAATTTATGCAACCAAATATTGACAATTTTTAAGTGAACTGGAGGGWTAGTTAGTGAGGTTTTTAATTTTGCATGGGGTGTGGGATTTGTTTTGTCTCACTGGGTTAGGCAGTTTATAAAGAGTTGGTGACTTTCTGGTGTCCTCTGCTGTCAACAGGTAAAAAAACTTCTGCTGTATTTTGACAGTGAACCCTGAAAAGAAATATTCCTTTGTTTACACTTAGTGAACCCCAGATGCACAGAGTAGTAACCAATTGCACAGAGTAGTAACCACTGCATTCCCAATCAGTAAAAAGGAGC